GCATGTTCCACTTCAGCGGCCAGGGGTTCACCAGTTCAGATCCCGGGTGTGGACACGGCACCACTTGGCAAGCCATGCTGTGGCAGGCGTCCCACATATAAAGTAGAGGAAGATGGGCACAGATGTTAGCTCAGGGCCAGTCTTCCTCAAAAAAAAAAAAAAAAATCAATGACAAAGTAAATTACCTACAAAGGAGCCCTCATTAAGCTATCAGCAGATTTCTCAGCAGAAACTCTACAGGACGGGACAGACTGAAATGATATATTCAAAATATTGAAATATAAAAACTGCCAGCCAAGAGTATTCTATCCAGGGGCTGGCCCCATGGCTGAGTGGTTAACTTTGTGAACTCCGCTTTGGAGGCCCAGGGTTTCCCTGGTTCAGATCCTGGGTGCAGACATGGCACTGCTCATCAGGCCATGTTGAGGCAGTGTCCCATATGCCACAACTAGAAGGACTCACAACTAAAATATTCAACTGTGTACTGGGGGGATTTGGGGAGGAAAAAGCGGAAAAAAAATATTGGCAACAGTTATTAGCTCAGGTGCCAATCTTAAAAAAAAAAAAAGAATATTCCATCCAGTATAGTTGTTCTTCAGATATGAAGGAGAAATAAAGGCTTTCCCAGACAAACAAAAGCTGAGGGAATTTATCTCCACTGGACCTACCTTACAAGAAATGTTGAAAGGAGTTCTCCTATCTGAAATGAAAAGGCAGAAGTGAACAAATCCTTGAGTAAGGTGATAAATAAATAGACAGGACCAGAAGATCACAAAGATGTTACAGAATAGGATTTAAACACTTAATTACAGCATAAAGGTTAAACAGGAAAAAAAGCATTAAAAATAACTAACACTACTTGAATATGGTAATGAACTCACAATATAAAAAGGGGTTAATTTGTGACAACAAAAACGCAAAAGGGAGGAGGTAAAGGACAAAACCTGCATCGGCAAATGAAGATAAGATGCCATCAGAAGAAAAAGGACTATTTTACCTGAGACACTGTATACAAACTGCACAGTAAGCACAAAACAAAAATCTAGAGCAGAGACATGAAGCATAAGAAAAGAAGAAGCTGAGAAAAACATCACAGAAAACCACCGGACTGAAATGGCAGACAGACACGAAAGGGAAAAGAAATACGGAAATATACAGCAACAGGCAAATAAAAGATAAAAAGGCAGGAGTAATGTCTCATATATCAGTAATCACCCTAAATGTAAATGGACTGAACTCACCAATCAAAAGACATACAGTGACTGGATGGATTAAAAAACAAGACCCAATTGTATGCTGCCTCCAGGAAACACACCTCAGCTCTGAAGACAAACATAGGCTCAGAGTGAAGGGCTTGAATATGATATTCCAAGCAAATGGTAACCAAAAGAAAGTGTGTATAGCCATAGTTATATCAGACAAAATAGACTTCAAGGCTGAAAAAGGTAAGAAGAGACAAAGATGGCCATTATATAATGATAAAGGAGACAATCCATCAAGAAGACATAACATTTATGGATATATATACACCTAACATAGGAGCACCAAAGTATATAAAGCAACTGTTAACAGACCTAAAGGGAGAAATCAACAGCAACACAACGGTGGTAAGGGACTTTAACACCCAACTTACATCAATGGATCGATCAACCAGACAGAAAGTCAGCAAGGAAACATCAGCCTTAAATGACACATTAGGCTAGATGGACTTAATAGACATATATATATATATATAGAACATTCCATCCAAAAGAAGCAGAATACACATTCTTCTCAAGTGCCCATGGAACATTCTCAAGGGGAGACCATATGTTGGGACACAAAACGAGTCTCAATAATTTTAACAAGATTGAAATCATATCAAGCATCTTTTCCAACCACAACAGTACGAAACTAGAAATCAAGCACAAGAATAAAACTGGAAAAATCACAAATATGTGGATATTAAACAACATGCTACTGAACAACTATTAGGTCAAAAAAAAAAAAACCAAAAGAGAAATAAAAAAATACCCAGCGACAAATGAAAATGAAAATATGACATACAAAAATCAATGGGATGCAGCAAAAGTGGTACTAAGAGGAAAGTTTATAGCAATACAGGCCTACGTAAAGAAACAAGAAAAATCTCAAATAAACAATCTAACTATACACCTGAATAGGAACTGAAAAAACTAGAAGAACAAACGAAGCCCAAAGTTAGTAGAAGGAAGGAAATAAAAAAAAATACAACTGGAAATAAATGAAATAGAGACTAGAAAGGCAATAGAAAAGATCAATAAAGCTAAGAGCTGGTTCTTTGAAAAAAAATAAACAAAATTGACAAACTTTTAGCTAGACTCACTAAGAAAAAAAGAGAAAGCTCAAATAAATAAAATCAGAAACAGAAGAGAAGAAGTTACAACAGATACTACAGAAATACAAAGGATCATAAGAGACAACTACAAACAGCTATATGCTAACAAATTAGAAAATCTAGAAGAAATGGATAAATGGATAAATTCTTAGAATTCAGTCTTCCGACAATGAACCATGAAGAAATAGAAGATTTGAATAGACTGGTCACTAGTAAGGAGATTAAGACAATAATTGAAAACCTCCCAAAAAACAAAAGTCCCAGATCAGATGGTTTCACTGGAGAATTCTACCAAACATTGAAAGAAGACTTAATACCTATCCTTCTCAAACTCTTCCAAAAAATTGAAGAGGAGAGAACGCTTCCTAACTCATTTTATGAGGCCAACATTACTCTGCTACCAAAACCAAACAAGGACAACACAAAAAAAGAAAATTACAGGCTAATATTCCTGATGAACATACATGCAAAAATTCTCAATGAAATATTGGCAAACCAAATACAACAACACATTAAAAGGATCATACACCACGGTCAAGGGGGATTTATTTCAGGGATGCAGGGATGGTTCAACATCTGCAGATCAATCAGTGTGATACATCACATTAACAAAATGAAGAATAAAAATTGCAAGATCATCTCAATAGATGCAGAATAAGCATTTGACAAGATTCAACATCGACTTATGATAAAAACTCTCAATAAAATAGATATAGAAGGAAAATATCTCAACATAATAATGGCCATATATAACAAACCCACAGCTAACATCATACTCAAGGGTAAAAAACTGAAAGTTTTTCCTCTAAGATCAGGAACAAGACAAGGCTGCCCACTCTCACCACGTTTATTCAACATGGTACTGAATGTCCTAGTCAGAGCAGTTAGGCAAGACAAAGAAATAAAAGGCATCCAAGTTGGAAAGGAAGAAGAAAGCTCTCACTATTTGAGGATGACATGATTTTATATATAGAAAACCCTAAAGACTCCACCAAAATACTATTAGAAATAATACATGAGTACCGGAAAGTTGCAGGGTATCAAATCAATACACAAAAATCTGATGTGTTTTTATGCACTAACAACCAACTGTCAGAAAGAGAAATTAAGAAAACAATCCTATTTACAAATGCAACAAAAAGAATAAAATACCTAGGAATAAATTTAACCAAGGAAGTAAAAGACCTGTACACAGAAAACTATAAGGCATTATTGAGAGAAATTGAAGAAGACGCAAAGAAATGGAAAGCTATTTCATGCTCATGGGTTGGAAGAATTAACATTGTTAAAATCCGGATTACCTAAAGCAATCTAGAGATTCAGTGCAATCCCTATCAAAATCCCAATGACATTTTTTCACAGGAATGGAACGAAAAATCCTAATATTTGTATGGAACCACATATGGCAAATAAACCACAATAGCTGAAGCAATCCTGAGAAAAAAGAACAAAGCTGGAGGTATCACAATTCCTGGTTTCAAACTATACTACAAAGCTATAGTAACCAAAACAACATGATGTTGGCAGAAAAACAGACACACAGATCAATGGAACAGAATCAAGAGCCCAGAAATAAACCCAGACATCTATGGCCAACCAATTTATGACAAAGGAGCCAAGAATACACAATGGAGAAATGAAAGTATCTTTAATAAATGGTGCTGGGAAAACTGGACAACCACATGCAAAAGAATGAGAGCAGACCACTATTCTATACTATACACGAAGATGAACTCAAAATGGATTAAAGACTTGAATGTAACACCTGAAACTATAAAACTCCTGGAAGAAAACACAGGCAGTATGCTCTTTGACATCGGCCTTAGATGTCTTAGATGTCTTCTTGGATATGTCTCCTTAGGCAAAAGAAACAAAAGAAAAAATAAACAAATGGGACTACATCAAACTAAAAAGCTTCTTCACAGCGAAGGAAAACATCAACAAAATGAAAAGACAACCTACCAGTTGGGAGAAAATATTTGCAAATCATATATCCGATAAGGGATTAATATCCAAAATATATAAAGAACTCATACAACTGAACAACAAAAAAACAAACAACACGATTAAGAAATGAGTAGAAGATCTGAACAGACATTTTTCCAAAGAAGACTTACAGATGGGCAACAGGCACATGAAAAGATGTTCAACATCACTAATCATTAGGGAAATGCAAATCAAAATCACAATGAGGTATCATTTCACTCCTGTCAGAATGGTGATTATTAAAAAGACAAGAAATAAGTGTCGGAGAGGATGCGGAGAAAACGGAACCCTCATACACTGCTGGTGGGAATGTAAATTGGTGCAAACACAATGGAAAACAGTATGGAGAATCCTCAAAAAATTAAGAATAGAACTACTGTATGATCCGGCTATTCCACTTCTGGGTATTTATCTGAAGAATATGAAAACATTAATTTGCAAAGGTTATCTGCACTCCCACGTTCATTGCAGCATTATTCCCAATAGCTAAGCCTTGGAAGCAACCCAAGTGTCCAATGGTGGATGAATGGATAAAGAAGATGTGGTATATATACCATGGAATGCTATTCAGCCATTAAAAAAAGGGTGAAATCTTGCCATTTGTGACAACATGGATGGACCTTGAGGGTATTATGCTAAGTGAAATAAGCCATATGATTTCAGTCATATGCGGAAGAGAAAAAAAGAAACACGTAGATAAGGAGAAGAGATTAGTGGTTACCAGAGGAAAAGGGTGTGGGGGGAGGGTGAAATGAGTAAATGGGGTCAGTTGTACAGCGACAGATGGAAAATAGACTTTTGGTGGTGAGCAAGCTGTAGTATATACAGATGTTGAATTATAATGCCGTACACCTGAAACCGATATAATGTTATAAACCAATGTCACCTCAATAGAGAAAAGACTCTAAAAATAAAATAAGTAAAATTTTTGTCAGATAATTCTAACATCTGTGTCATCTTGGTGTTTGTGTCTGTTGATTATCTTTTCTCATTCAGTTAGAGAACTTCCTGGTTCTTCACATGACAAGTGATTTTCAACTGAAACCCGGACATTTTGAGTATTATGTGATAGGGCTGGATCTTATTTAAATCAGTTCATTCTCCCCTGACACTGCTCCAGTGAAGGGGGGGACCCCCTTCTTACTGCCATATGGGGGTAGAAGTCTAGCTTCTCCACCCAACCTCCCTTAACCCCTGGAGGGTGAAGGCTCCTTGTTATTGCGGGGGGCGGCACAGGTCTGGTCCCCGTTAGCCAGCCACCAGCCGACCCTGGCTGGGAGGGGGAGGGGTGCTTCACCACTGCTCCCTGCATGGCTTCCTGGCAGAGTCCACTGTAGGAGGCGTGCTTGTTACCACCGCGTGTGGTGCAGGTCCTCACTCCCGGCTGGACCTCTTCTCACAGCGCTCAAGTGAGGAGGGGTGGGACCTCTCATCCCCGCTGGGTTGGGGTGGATGTTCAGGCTCCCCCTGCCACTGTGGGGAGGATGAGCCCACTGGCGATGGAGAGCTCAGCTCCATCCTGGGCCTCCTCTGGCACCACTCAGATGGGGTGTGGGGGTCTGGCCTGGGGTTTTTCCTTACAGCCTGGCAAGGGTGAAGTCTAAGCACCCCATTGGCCTTTGCTGCCGGGGTGGGAGGAAGCTGTGGGTTTTCCTGTGGTCTTGGGCTGGAGTAAAGCAGTTTTTGCCTGGTATTTCTAGGCTGCCCCCTTCTTGGCTCTTTGAAGAGCGGGGTTTTGCTGGAACGTCTTCTTGTCTGTGCCCACGGGTATGTCCAGCTGCCGGCTTCTCCACTGTTAGGTCTGGGATACACGAGGCAAAGAGAAAACCCAGGGAACTCACAGCCATATCATTCCTCAGCTCCCGAGGTCCCTAACCAGGGTGCCTTCTCTCCACCCTTCAGAGCCTTCTCATGCTTGTTTTATAATGTCTGGGGTATTTAGTTGTACTTAGCAGAAAAAATAGGGAAAAGGACCTCTAGTCCATCTTCTTGGAACGTCACTGCATTTTGAAGTTGCTCTTCACTCTTTCCATTTCCTTCTCAGTGATTGGCAGGTGGTAAAGGGTGGTGATGCCAGAGTGAAGACTGCTCAGAAGCTTCCCCATCATCTGCAGGATTTGCATGGCTTTGCGTGCTGTCTGTTTCTGGTCTCAAGACACTCACAGGCTAGAAGCCTGATAAAAGTGGTGAGGGTTGAGTCGTGAGACTTCCCCGTTCAATAACACTTCACATGTTACCTTTCTCCTTCCTGAATCGGTGTGTTCTTCCCTCAACCCCTGGGGTCTCTGAAGCCTCAGTGTCAGTGATCAGATTCCCCAACAATCATGCCCGTGCAGGGACATGAACATGAATGAGAATGACTGGATGCTGTCGCTAAAGCGTAAATCCTTTCGAGGTGGCTTGTGCCTTTTCAGCAGGCTGGCAGTTCTGATCTGCTCAGCTTGAGTCATTAGCATTTCCTGAGAGCTGGATCTAGCAGAAGCTGTGAAGGAGCCAGCTGTGAACCTATCTGATGGAGAAATGCCATACACAGAAACTGAAAACTGACCACAGATCTCCGAGGGTTCCTTCCAACCCAACCCCAAGTCCACAGCGCCCTCATTGCATCTTCCCCACTCGCCAGATCGCCCGTGCCTCTTGGCCGGCCCAGAGCCCCAGAGAGGCGGAGGCGGGGCCAAGCAGGGTGAAATCAGTCACTGGAGACTTCTCTGTGCTTCCCCTTTCACTCTCAGATGCCACTAGGGTCCCCGACGAGGGAAGACACGAGGAAACAGGTAAGAACTATTTTGTTCTCTTCTGCATTCAGCAAGGAAGTATGGAGCAGCTGCCATGTGCCAGGCACAATTCTCAGGGCTGGGAGCCCAGTGGGGACCCCTTCCCTGTGTCTTGCTGGTGTTACAGAGGTTGTAGATGCCTGTCTTTGAGAGTTCCCGCTGGTGGGCTTGGCGAGTCATCTGAGGGTAGGATGGGTCATTGGATGCCCGGGAGGGAAGAACGGCCTCAGGGAGGCTGCCTCTGAGGTCCTGCAAAGCCCTTAACACATCTGCATCTGGACAGCGTGGCCTGGTCCTGAGCCTCCAAGCCTAATGCCTACCGTCCCAGCCTCCATGCCCCATACTGCCTCAGTGGCCTTCCAATTCCAGGCCTGAGGCCCCACTTGTTATGCTCCAGAGACTGCCCGGGGCCCCTTGGGGGGAGCACACAGCCCTGCATGGAGAAGCGCCCCCCTCTCACTGGTCCTGGCATCCCCAAGCCAGTCCCCAGTGAGGCTGTGGTGGTGGCTGCTGCAGAGGGGACACAGCAGCCCAGCTACTGGAGGCTGGTCTTCGGCACGGTGAATGGAATCGGGCCCTTGTGGAAACCCAAATGGGGCTTGGGGTGTGTGTCCCTCAGAGCACTGACCCCAGAACTCTGCCAAGGGTTCACGGAAAATGTGGAGTAGACCCTATGGCCAAAGAAGGGTGGGCAACGCACTGGACTCCAGCCCCACGGGGGGAGCTGTGCGGCGCACACACAGCTGGTGAAGGGTCGGAAAAGACCTGCAGTCAAGAGTCCTATTTGACTTTTGTAACCCAGCTTTTCTCAAATGGTTGTGACCTTGAAGACCTTTTTGCATGTCACACTATTAGCGCCCACTGAGCTGCCGTCCGAGTCTGTCCCAGTTCAGACTCCTCACACCCGATTCACGCCCGGGGACAGGCCTGCACCAGCTCTCCCCACACCAGTGACCGGACACCCAGCAGGCTTTGTCACGAGCCACGCAGCCTGGGAGATAAACAGCTGGGGCGGGGTGGCGGTGATGTGTGGGAAATGTCGGCTGGGCGGGCGGGAGGGGCGCCGGTCTGCCCTGAGACCGGAGACACACTCTTCAGCACATCCTGCTGGCTCCCGGGGGACAGCCCAGAGGGCACAGCCATGCAAATCGGGACTTAAATTTAACTCTATGTAAATGTAACTCTGGGTAAAAGTCTAGTGAGGTGGCCGGCAAGCTCGCTGCACAGAGAGAGAGAGGGAGAGATGGGCAGTGGCTGCAGACTGGCAGCCCTTGACCTGCCTCTCACCCACAGACAGGTTTTGCTTGACCAGCACCGTGGGGTTTTTTCGTTTGTTTTTTAGGCAGGTCATTTCATGTGAAAACGTGGCTTCTTACTTCTCTTAAAACAGTGGAAGGTCAGGCAGTGCTGAGCCCGCGGTCCCCCACGGTCCCCCTGGGCAACAGTTGAGTGGAGCTGAGATAGTCACAGCCTTGACACAAGGCCTGCCTTTGTCCCCACCTGGTTGACCTGTGTTTCTACTCAGCCCCTGGGGGCATCTGAGTGGGGCCCTAGGACCGCATTCTCCTAAGTCCTTCCAACCCCTCTGAATGCTCTCTGGCTGTCAGACATAATTATTGGTTTTAGAGTTATTTTTTTCCTGGTCGTTAAAATCAAGGTTGGACCATGTCTCTCCCCTGTGTAAAACCCTTCGTCAGTTGTCCCAAGCTGAGCTCCAGGTCACCCAGGGCCTGGCACTCGGGCATCGAGTAGTCTGGTGCCCCTCAAAGCCTGAGAGCCAGGCAGGAAGTTTATAAAATTATGGATGGAGGATGGACAGATGGATGGATGGATGGATGGATGGATGGATGGATGGATGGACGGACGGTTGGATGGATGGGAGGAAGGAATGAGTGCTGGGAAGAGAGAGAGGCCAGCCCTGCAGAGTTCTCAGGCTGAAGGGAGAGGCACGGCATACCCAGAAAAGGTTCTGTGAGCATCCAGAATTCCACATCCCGCATGCAACCAGACATGGTCCTCTCGGGAATGGGGAAACAGAGTCAGAGCTCAGTGGGTGAGCAAGAAAAGCCGTCTGGATCAAGTAAGTGACCAGATGGCTCAGAGACAAACTCTCCCCGGCCCAGGCTCGAACCTAGACGCAACGCCATGCATCTCCTCGGCCCCTCGCTCCTGCTCCTCGGTAAGGCTGGTGGCCTAGGCTGGTCCTTGGGTTCTGGGATGACTGTGGGAGCTGGAGGAGGAGGGAAGGCCTGGGGCAGAGAAGAGTGAATGCGGGGTGGCATGAGGGAGGTCATGTATGTCTGTGTCCATGTCCTTCTCTCTGCTTCTCACACCCTTGGTGTGCCCCCGCTCTCTCCCTCCATCTTCGGAGGGGCTTCTTTCTTCCTCTGAAAGTTCTCTGTGCCCCTCAATGATAATCATGATCACTGTGCTGGGTTCCAGAATACTTGGCTTTCTCTGACTCAGTTCCGTGGGAATTTGACCACCCCAACACTCTCTACACCTGGGAGGGGGCCTGCGTCTGGATTCCCTGCACCTACAGAATGCCAAAGAGTGGAAAGTACCTCGACGGCCTGATCCTGTACCACAGTTATAAGTATGACGAAGTCAGCAAGGAGTACAGGGGGACCGTCCTCTATAACAAGACGAACACCGAGGAGGCTCCCAAAGACAGGAGAGTAGAGTTCCTGGGAGACAACAGATCCAACTGCACCTTCCGCATCGACCCCGTGAAAGTCAAAGACAGCGGTCAGCTGGGGCTGAGGATGATATCGGGGTCTGACAAATGGATGGAGGAAATAGGCCTGAACGTCTCTGGTAAGGCCCTGGGGGATGGGGTCCTCCACCTCGGGCACGGTCAAGGGGGAGGTGGGAAACACCCGGTTCCTGGGACAGGGCGGCGAGCCGGGTTGCCTGCAGAAGCCAGGCAGCGGGTGCCAGCGAGTGACTCACGCAGCACAGGACAACAGGGCTGTGGCAAACTGGAGCCTGGCACTTGACCCTCCTGAAGCATCCCGCCCACCGCTCAGCTCCTGCCCACTCTGGAATCCGGGCTGCGGGTTGCCCGATTTTTCAAGAGAAGATGGCAATCTGGATTTTCAAGTGAAATCCCCCAACATGTTAATGTTGGTGATTAATTCTAATGAGCCCTTCACGGCTAAATGACACGCTTGGAGGGGATGAGTCAAACACAGGTCTGGGGCCTCCACCCCAGGGAGCGTGCTCACTCTGTGTCACAGCCTGTTTCTTCAGTGAGTGGTTCTAAGCAGCCCGGTGTTTGAGGTGAGAGATGTTGCTTCAGACCCTGTGGTCGGAGGGTGGCCCAGCCGCTGGGAGAGCTGGGCCTGGCGCCCACAGCCCTGCTCTACTAAAAGGATGCTGCGTTGGGTGTCTCCAGTATGGAGGCCATGAAACACTCGCAGATCTGTCGTCGACGCTAAGAAATGCATGCTGAACCAAACCAGTAAAATTCACTTGGGGTGGTGGGGAGAGTGACCTTGAACACACTGAGAAAGCAAACATCAGGGAGTGACAATGAAGTAAGTTTAAAACATAAAATATGACTCCTTAGGAGGATCAGCATCCTCAGGACCCTTCAGAGCGTGTCTCGGCTGAGCAAGCGTGACCTAAAGCACAGAAAGCCAGGCCCAGGGGAGGCAGAACGGACTGGCAAGGATTCCTGAGCCATCATTTGGGGAGGGCATCTAAAGCCGGGTATAAGAGGCTGGCACCCACGGGTCCTCAGTCCCCCACACCTCCAGTGTGATCCTTACTCTGTTGCAGAGACGGCCCCTCCACCACGCATCCAGCTCCCTCCCGAAATCCAGGAGCTCGAGGAGGTCACTCTGACCTGCTCGCTGAATTTCGCCTGCTTTGGGTACCAACTGCAGTGGTCCCTGAAGGGGCCTGTTGTCTCCTCGACCTCCCTGACCCCCAAGACTGTCTCCACGGAGAGCAAGCTCACATACCAGCCGCAGTGGACTGACCACGGCAAGAATCTGACCTGCCAGCTCTTGGATCCTGACCAGCGGGTACTCTCGGAGGAAACCGTGCGGCTGGATGTGAAGCGTGAGTGTCCCCAGGGCTCCTCTGGGAAGGACAAGGGGCTCATCAGCTTCTCCCCAAGCCCTCAGTGAGCACAAGGTGCCAGGAGCCTCCGCAGAGGCAGTGTAACCAGTCTGTGGACACCTGCAGCAGGGGATGGTCCGGGCAGAGCCACATTCCCTCCTCCACATCTCTTTCTGGTGTTTCAGGAAACAGACTCATTTTAGCATCTGCTTTGGTCCAATGGAATAAAATAATTTTATCTATCCTCAAGCCATGACATGACTTTGGGATCATCCGCTTAGGGGTTTGTTTCCCCGGGTGGGGAGAGTGAAAAATCTTGTCACATCATTATTTGTGCCTCATTCATTCATTCAACAAATCTTTATTGCAAACCTACTAGGTGTCAGGCCTTATTATAGCTGCCAGGGATACAGTGGTGAGCAACGTTCTTGCCCACAGGGAGCCAGCGTTGCAGTGGGGCAGACAGAGAATAGATAAGTTAACCAAAAAATATAGAACATACTCGTGGGTGGTGCTAAGTGTATTTAAAAAAAGGAAGCAAGCAGGGCGAGGACAGAGGGTGTGAGGGATGCAGGCTCCTCTGAGAAAGGTGAACTTGAGCTGAGACTTGAGTGACAGGAGGGACTGAGGCAGGGAAATACTTGTGAGAAGACCATTCTGGGAAGAGGAAAGAGCAAGACCAAAGGCTTGAGGCAGAAACTTAGTGTGTCTGCAACAGAGCAAGGGGCCAGTGCGCCTCGGCGCCATGTCCGGGGTCCCGGAGGTATGAGAGGAAGGCCAGGAGGGACTGGACGGTCGATGTCGTGAGCTGCAGTTAGGGTTCTAGATTCTATTGTAAGTGTGGAACGCACTGAATGGTTTCAAGCAGAGGAGGAGCAAGATCTGACTGACAGTGTTAGGAATGCTGCTGGCAGCTGGTGGAGACCAGACTGGCAGGGACTGGGGGCATGCAGAGCAGAGAGATGAGTTAGGAGGCTGTGACAGTCACCTGGGTGCTTGGGCCAGCCCAGCCTTGTTGACAAGGGCAACAGTGAGTGGCTGCACACCCTCGCACGCTGTGTGTAGGCTGCCGCCACTTCTCATCCCTTTCCATCCTCTGAGAATTCCCTGTCTGCTCCTCCAGACCCACCAAAGTTGAAGATCGAGGTCAGTCCCAAAGAAGCCACTGTAACAAAGGGGGAGGAGGTGACCATGACGTGCCAGATCATCAGCAGCAACCCAGAGTACCGGCATATATCCTGGCTCAAGGATGGGATCTCACTGAGGCCGGAGGAGATGTGGGGGGCGCAGGAGAAGCTCAAGCTAACTCTGTCCACAGTGACCAAGGAGATGAGTGGAAAGTACCAGTGTGAGGCCCGCAATGACATAGGCTCAGGAAAGTCGGAAGAAGTGGACCTCCAAGTGCTTTGTGAGCCTCCTGGGAGGCAGGGAGGGGGCAGGCAGAGAGTGAGGGGGATGGAGCGGAAGCCCCTGAGAGGTAAGCAGCATGCCTCTGCTTGTTCTTCCAGATGCTCCGGAACCTTCCAGGGTTCAGATCCTCCCCTCACCAGCTAAGGAGGGAAATTCAGTAGTGTTGACTTGTACATCGCTGGCCAATCCTCCTCCAACAAATTACACCTGGTATCACAATGAGATGGAGGTGCCAGGAAGGACAAATAAGACCTTCCACATCCCAGAGGTCCTCCTTGGGCATGCTGGGACTTATTCCTGTTTCGCAGAAAACAGACTTGGTCCTGGACAAGTTGGCCAGGAGGCAGAGTTGGACGTCCAGTGTGAGTAGTCACAGAGCCTCTGGATTCTGGAGGGAGCAGGTGGCAGTGGGAGAAGGAGGAAGGCAGGTGGAGCGCAGGGGATGCTTGCGTCCCAGTGAGGACGGCAAGCAGACGCCGGGGTCTCCTGACCTGGGAGCTCTGGACGGGTCTTTGCTGTTGCTCGCAGCTGTATTCGCACTCCAGAGCAGGGCCTGGCTTGTGGTCAGCGCTCTGTAGATGTCTGTTGAATGAATGAACTGCAAGATGCCAGGGCCCCACGACGGACACGGAGATGGGGCGTCACTAAGCAGTGGCTGAGTCCCAGAAGGGGTCCTGAAGTTTTCAAGGACAACTGGGGCAAAATGACTCATTATCTTTCCATCGTCAGACCCTGTTCAACACAATCAATCTTGTCACTGAGTTGAGTCCGGGACAAAGAGAACCCATAGCTTTGATTCTGGGACCCTGGGATGTCATAGTCTGAGCCAAGTGCACTAATGGGGATGCCGAAATGGTAACCATCTACCCAGCTGGAGGGATGCTGACAGCAGCAGCAGGCGCGTTTATTAAGTGTTTATCACGGACCACACCACTCTAAGGGCATCATCTCATTTCCCCTTTGCAACAGTTCCACGAGGGGAGGTACTCTCAGGACCCCATTTGACAGACAAGTAAACTGAGGTGTGCAACCCGTGGTCACCTAGCTCTAAGTGGCAGGGTCCAGCAGTCTGGCTCCAGAGCTCATTTTTGTTTTTTTTTAAATTAATACCTGCACCACAGTGACCTGGCTCTGCGCCCCACACCCACGTGAAGACCCGCAGGCAGTGTGCCTCCGCCTCGCATGGGGCCAGGGCTGTGCCCCTAATGGCTGCGCCGTCCTGCCTCAAAGCACGGCCAGGCCACACGGCCAACGCAGGGCTCCCCTCCTCTCATAGATGCACGAGGGAAGTGCGAGCTTCCCTTGGTGAATTCAGGAACTGTGTGAGTGCGGGGGATGGAAAGGGAAGGAGGAAGCAGGAAGGAAAGGGCACTCTGCACACCTGACTTTTCTTCACCCGCCTCTCTGTTTCTCTCCCAGATCCCCCCAAGGAGGTAATCACAGTGATTCAAAACCCTGGGCCGATTCGAGAAGGAGACGAAGTGACCCTGTCCTGTATCTACAATTCCAGTAACCCCGGGGTTACCGAGTACATATGGAACCCCCAGGGCACCCCGCAGAAGAGCTCATCTCGGCTGCTGAAGATTCCAAAGGTTGCCTGGGACACCAAGCCCATCACCTGCTCGGCCTGTAACACGTGGTGTTCGCAGGGTCTGCCTGTCAACCTGGATGTCCAGTGTGAGTGACCCAGGCAGGGGCATCTGGGAAACAGCCCAGCTGGGATATGGGGCTCTCGGGGTGAGGAGCCTGGAGCCTGGGCCCGAGTCTTCACAGAGTATTGAGGGATGAGAGGCAGTCTTCAGGGCCAAGGGGAGAGGAAGTCCTGGGGACAGGAAGAGGGAAAGGGACCCAAGAGGTCAGCCTGGGGTCCTTGCTCTCCAGATGCCCCCAAAGATGTCAAGGTCCTGCTGATCAGCCCCGGTTCTGAGATTTGCTCTGGGGACAAGGTCCACCTCCAATGTCACTTCTCCAGTAGCCGCCCCACAGACGTCCACTTCTTCTGGAAGAAAAATGGGATCCTTCTGCAGGAAGGACGCGAACTGCGTTTTGATGCCATCTCTCCAGAAGACGCTGGAAGTTACAACTGCCTAGTCAATAACTCCGTAGGGCAGAGCACGTCTGAGGCCTGGATGCTCCAAGTGCTATGTGAGTGGCGGAGCCAGAGGCTGACAGCAGAGAAGGGCAGGTGACCAGCTCCCTCGATCCTGACGCCGCTTCTCTTACAGATGCACCTAGGAGGCTGCGTGTGTCTGTTAGCCCAGCAGATGGAGTGACGGAGGGGAAGAAGGTGGTCCTGACATGTCAGAGCGATGCCAACCCCCCAGTCTACGAGTACTCCTGGTTTGACTGGAATAACCAAAGCCTCCACCGTTATGATCAGATGCTGAGACTGGATCCTGTGAAGGTCCAGCACTCAGGCACCTATCGGTGCAGAGGGACCAACCGACTTGGGGTGGGCACGTCGCCCCCCAGCACCCTCACTGTCTACTGTAAGGCGCCTTCCCTTTCTTCTCTGGCCTTGGCCACCCCTGCAGCTTCCCCACAAGGCTGCGCGTTCCAGACCACCTCACCCCTCCTTCCCAGCCCCCTCCCTGCCCTGTCCCACGGCCAGCCCCGCCTGTGCACACAGCTCACCTGTCTTCCCTCCTTCCTGCTCCATCTCTCCTGACTCCCTCTGGGGGGATTCCCTCTCAGGCTGTCCCCCACCCTGCCCCCAGACATCCTGAGCTCCTCCTGGGTCCCTCTCTCTGTCTCTCTCTCTGTCTCAACCTCGATAGGCTGCTCGTTTATATCTATTGAGATTTTAGTGGTTTTCTTTTTATAAGAGACAATGTAAGTAGAGGAAAGGCAGCCGCCTCTCCTTTCTTGCTCCCTGAGAACTCCACGCCCTCCCTCGAGGCAGCTGTCTCATCTTATGACAGAGACATTCTTTCTGTGCACAGTAGGCGTACATGGGTCTATGCCTGTACACACTTCGTCGTTACGCAAATGCCGGGAGAGCTCACACTTTGCCTTTTTTCCCACGTACTAACACCACTTAGAGATGGTTCTACATCTGTGCACATATGGGGTGTCTGAAGTCGGGAAACATAGGGAAGATGTTTCATTTATTTACTGTGTTTTTCCAGATTAATAAAGGGAGCTGTGGCTTTAAAATTTAGGGGGTCATTGCCTGCAGACGCTAAAGGAAACAGCCTGAGCTGCTATTTGGAAATGAATTGTATTGTATAAAAACAGGGTCCCTGGGTCTCCACCTTGTAGATCCCCTGGAGACCTGACTCTTTTCCTAAGGGCTGCGCTGTCTTCCCGTACTTACCTCCCAGAGCCCTCCTCGCGGCCGTGTGCATCTCTTGCTCCAGGAGAGTTGCAGGATAAATTCCTACACGGAATTGCTGGGTCAGAGGACAAGTGATTTTAAGTTCTGCTGGTATGGCCACCCTGTACTCTGAAGAGGTTGTGCCCGTTTGTGAGGACCGCGTGCTGGGCGCATGCCCGTGCCAGTCACAAAGCAGGAGCTCCTCATGAGAAAGAACGAGCCCTCTCCTCCTCACAGGAGGTCCAGAGGGCAGGGGCTGGCTCCTCCCTCTTTCTCTGCATCTCGTCCTCCCGTGTGGAGGAGAAGTGGTGCAGGCAAAAGGACGGCAGCTATGCAGAGGGACGTGGAGGATGCCTACGGGGCAACGCGGCAGGGCAGGGCTGGCCCCTTACCTGAATGAGGCAGCGTCATCGACTGACGGTGCTCCTTTCTCCATCAGATAGCCCAGAGACCATCAGCAGGCGCGCGGCCTTGGGAGTGGGGTTCTGCCTGGCCATCCTCCTCCTGGTAATATGGGGAGTCAAGTTTCAACGGAGGTGAGCTCCTCCCTGCCCACGGCCTCCGTTCCCCGCGGCCGGTCCAGGGAGGGACTCTGGCTCCTCAGTCCTGTAGCCCCCAGCTTGCTGACTCCTCAGGGACCTACTTCCATTCCCTTGATCCCCACTGGGTGGGTCTTGATTTCTTAGCTGGAAGAGGATTCGGAGCCGGCAGGAGCTTCAGGAAAATTCCAGTGGGCAGAGCTTCTTCGTGAGGAATAAAAAGGTAGGATGAGAGAGGGATGAAAACGCAGGGCATACCTTGAAGCCAGGCAAAGCGATGGGGCCGAGACAGAGTTCTGGGGGCAGGTCTAGGGTGTCCCAGGCCAGGGGCAGGGAGCTGAAACCCGTCTCTCTCCCAGATCAGGAGGGCCCCCCTCTCTGAAGGCCCCCACTCCCTGGGCTGCTACAACCCAGTGATGGAAGATGCCATCAGCTACGCTGCCTTGCGCTTTCCCGTTGGCGAGACTGACACGCAGAGGACTGGGTACTGAGGATGCTGGGAGGGTGACACCGCACCCTGGGGGGAGGTGGAAGAAAAGCTCGAGTCCCTCCTGCTGGCTTTGTGTCAGGCCTGTGCCACTGCCATACACCCATAACCTCACTCCAGCTCCATCACAGCCCCCTGGGTCAGCAGTGGTCTCAGGAGCTGGAGCTGTTCCTTCAAGCCAGGTGCATGGAGGCCCAGAGTCGGTCTCTGTCGCCAAGGTTAAGACTGTGATCTAAGCTGACATTCGCTCATACGACACAGCAGCTCCTACCATGGGCACTGGGCCTGACACAGAAGGGGCTGAGAGGCTGCGGGCGCTCTGGGGGTCTCGGGGAGTTGAAAGAAGGAAGGAGTTCCTGCAAAAGGCTTCCTTTGTGGTCATCTCTCTGCCCTCCCTCTCAGAGACACAGAGCCCTCAGAGACACAGGGACTTTCCCTAAACATGGACGACACGGTCACTTACTCTGTGGTGCAGAGGCGTCATGTGGTAAGATGGCAGGGCTGTGGGAGGAGGGAGATGAGGGGCCTGGCCTCAGCTGTGAGTCCTGGAAGGGAAGGACTTGGGCGAACTCAGCAGTGGCAAAGGCTGAGGGGTAGGGCGGGTTGCTCAGGCCAAGGCGTGGTCAGAGCCGGGCAGGCACCTCCCCATCTGAGACCCTGACCTCAGCCAGTTTCTGGACAAGAGGACTTCTGCTCGGGTTCTTGGCCCCTCAGGTGGAGTCAAGGAGAGAAAGGTCAGGGAAAGGGGACTGTGGGAGGCTGGTGGCCGTGAGGCCAAGCTTACCCACTGTGGCTTTCTCAGGGCGACTATGAGAACGTGACTCCAGCTGTTCCGGAAGACGAGGGGATACATTACTCGGAGCTGGTTCACTTTGGGGTTGGGGAGCGGCCTCCAGCTGAGGAAGGAGTAGACTACGTGATCCTTAAGCACTGATGGCCAAATCGGCTGAGGTGGGGGAGCCCAGGGGCTGCAGGGGCCAGGACAGGCCTGGGGCTTTCCCAGCCTCTGCTGTTCAGCCACAAAGCGCCAAGCCTTGCCCTCCACACACACACTCACACACACACTATTACTGCAACACCAGTCGTGCGGAGAACTCTGTGCACGGGCCCGTGACAGTCTTCTTTCTCAGCACTGGTAACCCCGACCCTCCAAAGGCCTGCCCTGGTCCTTCCACCCTCCTTCCCACCTGGAAACTCATCTAAACACCTGCCTTGTGCTGTACAAACCCCCAGCCCTCCCCAGCCTTCTGCCACCACTCACCCCTCCCGAGCCCCACCACAGCTGGCTGTGTCCCTGCCGGGCTCAGCTGGTCACTGTATTTTCTTTCCCTCCCCATCCCTTTGACCCCCTACTCCTGCTCTGATAGCCCCACTCACTAATCTCATGCCTGATGTTTGCCTCTGGGGCAAAGCCCAGAAAGAGGGACAGAAACGAGGCAGACAGGGGCACTCTCCCACACTGGTTTCTCATCCCCAGGGAAGCCAGGCAGTCCAGGGAGAGGGTCACACTGCTGCAGCCTTGGCCTCAGGGGTCCCGTGGTCTGAGCCATACCCCGGTGTGGACAAACATCTTAACAAACACAGACCTTCCCAATAAAATGGCTCAGATCCCACTTCAAAGAACCAGTGAACTATTTCCAGTGTGTGGAGTCCGAGTGGGGACGGGGAGATGGGGAAGGCGTCGAGGTGATGTCATGATCAAACCTCAGACTGGTGGGTGCCTTGTCTTGCTGGCGAGAGAGCCTGGCTCCACAGGCGGACGAGCATGGATCTGAGTCTTAACTCTTCTGAGCTCTTGGGCAAAGAGCACCAGCTTATCCGAGCCTCAGTTTCTTCATCTGTAAAATGGAGATGCCACTCCCCACCATGCAAATGGTTCAAGATAGGAAGTGAAGGATAATCTCATATTTGCTGGAGTTGCATTATAAGAGGCCTAACGCAATAGCCAAAAGCCCCCACAACCGCAGCCCCATCTTATTTGCATATCTTGAAAGAACATAAAAAGGGGAAGCCAATTCATCACTCATGGTTATTTTCAAAAGTGACCCTGCCAGGTTCTTTCACAACCCACAGCTGCCTAAGAACTTCTCGAAAGCTGCCTTGGGAACCCTCACAGCTTCTCGTCTTCACTGTCACCCCATTGGTTCCCCATGACTAATGCCCACTCTGCAATGGGTCCTTCCGGCTTCCCTCCACTTCTCAGGCCCATCTCCCTCCACCATCTCCTGCTTCTGCCAATGGGCTGTGGGGTTCCCCAGGCCAGGAACGCATGGCCATCGACCAGCAGGAAGACGACTGTAAAATTCCTGGCCTGCGGTGGGTGCTCCAAAAGCGCCACCTTTTCCTGCGCTCCTTTCCCATCCGCTCTGTACCAGAATGTTCTCTAAGCTACGATGACGTTTTGGTCATCCTTGGAATAGGAGTAGTGTAAGGCACTGATCTCCCCATCAACCCACTTTGTTCCGGTTTGACTTCTTGTGAGTCCCATTACCTTTTCTGGAGGAAGGGAAGACTTCCAGAACTGTTTAAATGAGAGAGGAAGGCTTTGGGGGTTTCTGTGCGGAAGTGAAGTCCAGTATCATTCATCCATTCAACCGCTTCTTCAGCAAACGTTTGCTGCGCACCTGTCAGCACGCTCAGCACAGAGCCAGTTGTTAGGGTACAAAAGTACGTGACATAGTCCCACCCCTGGGGCTCTCTAGTCTAGAATGCCTCGAGGGTTTCAGGGCAGGGGCCCCTAGAAGTTGCTGAAGGCAGCCCCGAGCCTAATGAGGCCTGGCACAGGCTCCCTGGCAACCAGCAGGTACCTTCCCATCCTGTCCCTGAGCCCGGCTGCTGACATAAACCCTCTTCATGACCAATTGACCAAGAGATGTGGCTGTCAACAGGCACGCCACAGCGTGAACAGCAGGTGGCCAGGAAGGTGGGAGGCCAAGGACTCCAGGACCTGACAGCCTTCCACCCAGCCCCAGATCTCGCCATCCTCCCAGGGCCCAGACAAGCAATCATTCATCCAACTCATGGAGCCCCTGCTATATGTGCAACAGGCAGCGGACAAAGCGGACAGGAGGCTTTGCCCTCACCGACCAACATATTAGCAGAGGGGCTGGCAAATCTGACGTCGCAGAGTCGTGGGTCCTCTGAATAGACACAACGCAGGAGGAAAACAGAGAGCCTGGCTGGAACAGAGGAGGGCCCATCTGGATGGAGGAATCAGCAAGGCCTTCTGAGGACGTGACACTGGGCAGAGACCTACCCACCAGGCGGGCAGGGCCAAAGCAGAGAAGATCTTGAAGACGCGATGTCTCCCTTGGCGCCCAGCTTTGCTCTTCTCCCAAACGCTTGTTACAGGAGGTGACATGTCACTCCTTTTGATTTTTTCCTTGAGTCTGTCTGTTTCTCAGTGTTTCCCAAAGACAAAATACCAACGATAAGTGGCAAGTTCTTCTACATTCCCAGGGAGGTGCTGGGCCATATATGTAGGACCTGGAACCAGAATCAATTTGCTGCCTGAGATGGAGAAAGGAAATTAGGTCGTTCCTCTGGAGGGAGCTGTTGGCCTGCCAAGCATCCCACGCCACCCCCGCCTGGAGCCGGGGGCGCAGCCTTCCAGGAAGCCACTCAGAAGCTTCTTCCAGGTGACCGGGAATTTGAGAGGGTCATGGCAGCCCACACGGTGACCAAACCACACACCCAAGAAAACTGAAGTTGAGAGAGGGGCTGTATTGTGAGACTGAGGCAGCAGAGATGGACAGGCAGACAGAGACGCACACACAGTCAGAGGTGAATCGCAGAGACAGCCTGGGGCTGTTTTGAATCTCACTTAGGAGGTCTGCTCAGAAGAGCAAGGTGACCCCGACAGGGGGTGGACGGCTGAACTCCCTGAGGCCAAGGGCCCTTTGACATCCACGCAGCCCTGAGGAGGCCGAGTGGAGACCACAGCCTGGTTACTCCGTTGGCGCCAAACGAGACTGCCCTTGTCCTGTGTCTTCCCTCCTCCCTGCTCCTGCCAACGCTACACGTTCAGAAACCACACCATGGAGCCAGTGGGGGGAGGAGCGGGAGATGGCGGAGCCTCCTCACAGACCGTGCCCACAGCCAGGGTGAGGCAGGGGAAGGCAGAAGCTGTAGCTGGGAAGGATGCTTTTATCTCCCCACACATCAAGTACCAGATGGATGGTGTGGGTGACGAAGGTGACTGGGTCCTTTTTGTTGTCTAGGAGGGAGCCAGCGAGGCCTGGGGCCTGCCCATGAGCTCCCCGGGGAGTGGAGAAGACTTAGCCCCCAGAACGGGCTGGAACAGGCTGTGGGGGCGGGCAGGGGGAACAAAGCTGTGTTCTGGTGGCACCCCACCAACCCTGCTCCTTGCAGGTGCTGCGACAGGCTCCTCGCTCTGCCCAGGAAAGCCCACGCTTCGGTCCTCTCCCCTCCTTGTGTTCGCATCACCTCCCGGGACCCCCCCCCCCGCTTCAGTCTGGCCTCTGCTGGGCCGAGATGCCCCATTAGCTGCTCACCCAGGCTGCCAGTGCCTCGGCCTAATGGTCCTGCCACCCCGCCCTTCACTCCCTTCCAGTTCACTGCCCAACCTGGGGCCCTCCCTCGGCCCAGTGAGGGGGACAGCCGAGCCTCAGAGACACCTGGCCGCGCCGAGAGGTGAGTCCCTCCTTCTGCGGCTCCTCTTTGCACCAGGGACTACCTCCCAGACCCCCAGGCCCCCTGCTGAGGGTGCCCCTGAAGTTGGCCAAAGTCATTCCCAGTGACACTGATGGGACCTGGCCTACCCTTGGGCTTTCCCCTGGGGACCCCCTTCTTCTGCCCTCTGCCACACCTCCACCACCGGCCACTGTGAGGGAGCAGCTCCTTCTCTTTCCAAGGAATTGGGGGGAGGGGAGCAAATCCAGGGATCAACTTCCATTCCTAAGAAAAACTGGAGCTGGGGGCCCAGCTCTGTCCTGACTCTCTCCACCCCTTCCCTCCCCAGGGTCTCAGAAATCAAGAGGCCGTCCGTCTCAGGGGACCCGCGCTCCCGTTCTGTCTTCTCCTGGGGCTCTGCCATCACGCCTTCGTTTGAAGAGGTGATGACGTGGAAAGAAAGCAGAGGGCTGGGGGCCGACCCTCCTGGCTTGCAGTCCTGGCCGGACCGCTAACTGGCTGCCACCTGCCTCCCCGGCCTTGTCTCCTCAACTGTCCCACTGGACGGCTTGGACCGCGCCCCCCCCCCCCCCCCCAGCAGTGCTGAGCCGAGTGCGCGAGTCCGGGAGCGCCCCCTCCGGGGATCCCGAGACCTGCGGACGCAGCGGGGCCCCATGGACCCGCCCCCGCAGCTGTCCTTCGCCCTCTACGTGGGAGCCTTTGTGCTCGGCTTCCCGCTCAACGCCCTGGCCGTCGGGGCCGCCGCCGCGCACGCCCGCCTCCGCCTCACCCCCAGCCTGGTCTACGCGCTCCACCTGGGCTGCTCGGACCTCCTGCTGGCCGCCTCTCTGCCCCTGAAGGCGGCCGAGGCCCTGGCGGGGGGCGCCTGGCCGCTGCCCGCCGCGCTCTGTCCCGCCGTCGCGCTGGCCCACTTCGCGCCCCTCTACGCGGGCGGGGGCTTCCTGGCCGCCCTGAGCGCCGGCCGCTACCTGGGAGCCGCCTTCCCCCTGGGCTACCAGGCCATGCGCAGGCCGCGCTACTCCTGGGGCGTGTGTGTGGCCATATGGGCCCTCGTCCTCTGTCACCTGGGGCTGGTCCTTGGGCTGGAGGCTCCCGGAGGCTGGACGGACAATACCACCAGCCCGCTGGGCATCAACACACCGGTCAACGGCTCCCCCGTCTGCCTGGAGGCCTGGGATCCAGCCTCAGCGGGCCCTGCGCGCCTCAGCCTCTCCCTCCTGCTCTTCTTTGTGCCCCTGACCATCACAGCCTTCTGCTACGTCGGCTGCCTCCGCGCCCTGGCCCGCTCAGGCCTGAGCCACCGGCGGAAGCTGAGGGCGGCCTGGGTGGCCGGCGGGGCCCTGCTCACGCTGCTGCTCTGCCTAGGACCCTACAACGCCTCCAACGTGGCTGGCTTCCTGCACCCCGACATGGGAGGCCGCTGGCGGAAGCTGGGGCTCATCACAGGTGCTTGGAGCGTGGTGCTCAACCCGCTGGTGACCGGCTACTTGGGAGGGCGTCCTGGCAGGGGGACATCACGTGTGGCGAGAACAAAAGGCGCCGTGTCCCAGAAGTAGGAGCCACTGCTGGGGGAGGGGCATGAAGCGGGAGAGCCCGGTGCTTCCCCTCGCCCCTTGCAGGGGACCACCGGCAGCCCTGCCTGGGGGCGGCCCTGGAGCCCCGTGTGGGAAGGACCGAGGCTGGCAGAAGACTGCCTTCCGGTTGGAAGAATGGAGGCAGGAGGAAGGTGAGCCTGCCTCTCACACATCAGTCTGACTGCCCTCCTCTGTCTGTCTCTCCTCTCCGTCGCCCATCCTTCCTCGCCTGTCGGCCAGCGTCCTGCGGGTGAGGCCTCTTCCACTGGGGAAGAAGTGGGACAGTTCCGTTCCAGCCCTGATAATGCACTTTGGGAGATGCTCCTCCAAAATCATGTCCTGGGGAAGAACATTTTAATTTCAGTGTGAGAGAAGAAGCAGGAGGCAAGATAATGAGGCTGTTATACCGCTTGGCACTCACAAGGGGGCGGCATTAGAAGGAGGGAAAATAGCAACACAGAAAGCCGCAAATACCAAGTCTCTAATACGTGACAGTCACCACGCCAAGTGCATTATGAATGTTGCTTCCCTTCACCCTCATGCAATCCTTTGATTTAGCTGTATGGCTGCTGTACAGATAGGCAGGTTGTTCATTGTACAAGGGTGCCAGGCAGAGGGGCAAACGTTGACTAAATTGTAGCTCGTGCTTTGCTGACCATGCCATGTGCCTGGCACAGGGCTGTTTCCATCCAGGGGGAGAAGCATCTTATTCCAATTTAAATAAAGACATCACTCAATCCTTGAGCAGTGCACCTTGGCACAGGGTGGTGCCCATCTGGAGGAGGGTGCCTTTTCCTGATTTGTACCAAGGAGCTGCGTGAGGGAGCTACAGTCTTGGGCCCAGGGATTAATATCATCTTTGTTTTGCGGCGTTAAGAAATTTGCCTGAAGACCTCCAGCAAAGAAGGGGTGGATGAGGGATGCGATCCTTCAAGGCAGGACCCCCAAGGGTCAGGGGACACTTGGAAAGCTTGCGGTATTGGGCTTAACCCCTGCCTTTGTGGTCCCTTTTGTGAAGCTGAATGGTGGCACCCTGAACCTGCGAGAGAGTGGGCAGTGGAGGGTGGCTGTGAGGGGCCACCCTCACGTGAGAGACACCTGGGCATCTGCTCTGCTTAGGTGAGGGGTGGGAACAGACTTGTTCCTCTAATGATGATGATGCCAGGCATGCAGAGGGGCACAAACAGTGGTTGCTGTGTGCCTAGCGTGTATGAACTTGTTTATACACGTTGCCTCTTTTCATGCTTAAAGTTCTCTAAGGACAGGAATTTTGATTTATTTCCTAATACATCCCCAGCCCCTACCAGAGAGCCTAGCACACAGTGGGCCCTCAGTAAGTGTTTGCTGAATGGATGAACACTCCTCACAGCTCTCCAAAAAAAGTTTTATTTTATTACCCGTTTTCTCAGTGTGGAAACAGGCCAGAGAAGTCAGGTAACTTGCTGAGGCTCTGCAGGAGCCAGAAACGAGTTTGTTCTCGGGACACCAGAGAATTTGGTAAAAGCCCCAGCTCCAGCCCAGCTGGCCCCACTGCCCCTCCCCCAACGCTAGGGCTGCTCTCTCCCGCCCGCTCTAAGCACCTGCCCCGCCAGGTCACTTCTTCCAGTTACCGCGCCTCTGCCACTCAGGGGAGATTTCAGTTCCTCCCTGGGGCCCACGGGCCCTGTGTGATCCGCCCCCAACATCCTCCGGTGACCCTTGTCCCTTGAGCCCTAAACCCTCCCTAGTGCCCCCAGCAGCCCTTGTGCCACCATCCCCTCCCCACAGTGCTTCCCCCAGCGGTCCTCTGCCTCTGGATTCCGATGTCATCATCGGCCTCCCCCCACTCAATCGCCACGAGCCCCCCCGCAAAAGTAAGCACCATGACACCAAAAACTCTGTTTTGTTCACTGGTGGACTTTTAACAATTTATTTGAGAGAAAACTTACATATCATAAAATTCACCCATTTTAAGTGTACAATTCAATGATTTTTTGTAAATTTACTGAGATGTGCAACTACCACCATAATCCAAGCGAGAACATTTTCATCACCCCGGTAAGACCCGCCCCCCCCGCACATGCTCCTTGACACAATCCCGTTGCCACCCCCCAGGCAACCAGTGATCTACTTTCTGTCTCTATAAGTTTGCCTATTCTGGACATTTTATATAGATGGAAACATACAATCCGTGGTCTTTCATGTCTGGCTTGTTGCACTTAGCATAACGTTTTTGAGGTTCATCCATGTTAGAGTGCGCATGCATATTTCATTCCTTTTTACTGCCAAGTAGCATTCCATCCTGGGGATATGACACGTGGTCTATCCATTCGCTAGCTCATGGACCACCAATGGTGTTTTGTTAAGACTAATCCTTTATAAATGTTTATGAGCAAGTCTTTGTGTGGACACATGATCTCATTTCTCCTAAATAAATACCTATAGTGGAATTGGGTCACATGGTAAATTTATGTTTACCTTTTAAAGAAACTGCCGAACTGCTTTCCAAAGTGATTCCATCATTTCATATTCTCACCGGCAATGCATGAGGATTTCCGTTTCTCCACATCCTCACCAACACTTGGTGTTATCTTATTTTTTTTCCAGTGGGTGTGAAATGGTATCTCCTTGTGCTCTGTAAATTTTGAATGAATATTTGAATGAATAAATAAATAATCGCTGATGCTGGACAGAACTTGGGTTTGAACCCTTGTGGCGGTACTTAAGTTGTGTTACCTGGAGCAAGTCACATCCCCACTGTGGGACACAGGGATCCCAAGACACAATGGTGATGCCCTGAGAAGCAGAGTATCAGCTATGGATTACGTACCCGCTAAAAGGTGGCTACCATCATCATGGCCACCATCGTCACTGTTAATATCAATATTATTATTATTGTTACCATCACCCCAGAGATGAGTGCACACCAGTGACAGGGATGATGGCAGCTAACACCTGTTCAGTGCTCCCCACAACACACCAGGCTCCATTCTAAGCATCTGACACGTATTAATGCTTTAATTTACACAACAATTCTGTGAGATTGGTACTGTGATTATCGCTGGTTTACAGATGAGAAAGCAGAAGTTCAGAGAGTTTAAGTTACTCGCCTCAATTTAGAGTTGGAAAGCGACGGGGCCAGCATTGAACCCAGGCCCCCAGCTCCGAAGCCTGTGCTTTCCATCACTGCATCGCACTTCCTGCCCTTACAAGGCAAACTGGATGAGTGCCATTCTAGAGGAGCAGACAAAATTCAAGTGGAGGATCAAGGAGGGGAAGACGAAGTCCTCTCGGCCTTGGTCAGGGCATCTCATCTGAGGCCCCCGAGGAGCGAGGAGCAAGGCACACAGTTGTGGAATTTGCTCCTCATTTTGCATACTGGCGTGGCTCTGGTAACGGAGCTGAAGGCATCTTTTGTGCCGTTGCTCAGCAGTGAGTGACGTCATGGGCACTGTCAGGTCTTTATCAGTTCTGCCAGATAAATAGCTAACCGTACGTGTTCTGGAGGAGCCGGCAAGGTACTGAGCAGCAGAGCACTTGGGTTCTCAAATAAGAGGTGAGTTTGGGGCCCTGAGGAGCTGTGTGGAGGGGTGTCCTGGCTCTACTGGGGGAAGGGACAGGAGACAGGGCATGACCAGGAAGACAGGCAGGCTGACCCCACTGGGGAAAGCCTCAGGGCCGTGAGGGAGTGAGGGTGGTGACAGTGTTCCCTGCTGGCAGTTGAAATGCTGCTGGTGGGAGCAGGAAGATCTCATCCAGACTGCCCTCTCTGTGTCTGTCTGTCTGTCTTTCTCTCTCTCTCTCAGCAGTGGCCATGACCATGGACACAAGCCTGGACCAGTCCTTCTCCCCCGGGAACCACTGGCTCTTCTTCTCCGTGTACCTCTTCTCCTTCCTCGTGGGGCTCCCCCTCAACCTCGTGGCCCTGGTGATCTTCGTGGGCAAGCTGCGGCGCCGCCCCGTGGCCGTGGACGTGCTCTTGCTCAACCTGACCCTCTCGGACCTGCTTCTGCTGCTCTTCCTGCCTTTCCGCATGGCGGAGGCGGCCAGCGGCATGCACTGGCCCCTGCCTTTCATCCTCTGCCCCTTCTCCGGATTCCTCTTCTTCACCACCATCTATCTCACCTCTCTCTTCCTGGCAGCTGTGAGCATCGAGCGCTTCCTGAGTGTGGCCTACCCACTGTGGTACAAGACCCGGCCAAGGCTGGGACAGGCTGGCCTGGTCAGTGGAGCCTGCTGGCTGCTGGCCGGTGCTCACTGCAGCGTGGTCTACATCATCGAGTTCTCGGGGAACTCCTCCATGGGCCAGGGTAAAAATGGGACCTGCTACCTGGAATTCCAGGAGGACCAGCTGGCCATTCTCCTGCCCGTCCGGCTGGAGATGGCCGTGGTCCTTTTCGGGGTGCCCCTGCTCATCACCAGCTACTGCTACGGCCACCTGGTGTGGCTGCTCGGCAGGGGAGCCAGCCACCACCGGCGGAGGAGGGTGGCGGGGCTCGTGGCAGCCACGCTGCTCAACTTCCTCGTCTGCTTTGCGCCTTACAACATGTCCCATGTCGTGGGCTACGTCCAGGGCAAGAGCCCGACATGGAGAAGCTACGTGCTGCTCCTCAGCACCCTGAATTCCTGCGTCGACCCCTTGGTCTACTACTTCTCATCGTCTGGGTTCCAAGCCGACTTTCACGAGCTGCTGCGGAGGCTGACTGGGGCCTGGGGCCCCGGGAGGCAGGAGAGCAGCGTGAAACTGCAGGAGAGGAAGGAAGGCGAGGGGCAGCTGCAGGAGCCATCCCACAGAGAGGACAGGTAGAGCTCGCCGGAGGGCCGTGGAGCGGGCGTCATCCCCAGGGAAGCTCCTGGCTCGTCAAGCAGGCCCTTGGAGTGGCAGGCAGGGGACCGTGCACCCGGGCCGAGCAGGCACCCAGCCTTGCTGAGGACGTGCTCGCCAAAGCCCAGCACTCGAGCTCACCACGCTGCCCTCCTTTCCCATCCCCACACGCTATGGATTCGGCCCCGGGATGCAGTCAGGGTGAGAGTGCTCCAGAGAAAATGAGCTCCCCATGGCAACGGGCCAGCTGCTGTGGTTCTCTGAGGGCAGAGGAGGAGTCGAGGGCGGCGTCCAGGGCCCGAGGGAGCTGCCCAGTGACTTGGGACAGGAGAGAGGAGGAATGGACCCTTCGGAGCTGCTCACCCGGCAGGCTGGGAGTCGGGGACAGGACTTCACGCCTGAGGGAGCAGCCTGCTCTCACATGGGCTTTTCCAGAAAGTTTCTATTGTCCAATCAAGTCAGATTTTCAGGGACGTTTATGGAAAATGACAGAAGAAAAATTACCTAAATAAATCTGGTAGCAAGCAAAAGAGAACGGTCTTTTCTCATTCTGTGTTTTCTCGTGGTGTACGTGGGTCACGTGGAATTGATGGGTGAAGAGTGAAACGCCTCGCCTCTGAAGGAAGAGGGCGAAACAGTAAGATGCCCCGATGCTGGGGGAGGGTCTGGGCTGAGGAATGAGAATAATAGCTACCCTGTAGCAAGGAGTCGGCCTGCCACTTTGTCTGCTCCAATCCTCTCAACAATCATGTGGCCAGTATTATTATTATTCCCCTTTTACAGATGAGGGAATGGGCCAAGGGAGGTGAAGTCTCTGAGATCCTACCGCCAGGAAGTGACTGAAGCAGGACTGGAAGCTGGAATGTGCCGACTCCGAAACCCACGCGCCTCACCCACTCGGCTCTTCTGCCCCCAGCTGTGCCTCCTGCGCCAGGACAGGGCCGGTCACACATCCGGCGTCAGCTGAGGCCGCCTGGCCGGGACAAGCGCAGACAGACCACTATGAGACAGAGAACTAGATGCAAAGCAGATCGATTATCTATGCTGAAACATCCTCTTCCCAGTCAAGAAACCCTCGAAAAAAATTAAGATAATTAGTCAGCACAGTTGCCTTCAAAGACAGATGTACGCTCTTAAGAGCTATTTTTATCCAGATGTGATCATTTAGTAGGTTTGCCTTTTCCACTGACCGGTGGTACACGAGAGACAGGTGGTCAGGGCCTCCTCTCCCAGCAGGGCAACCAGGGCAATGCTGGCACCTGTCAGCACTCAGTCAGCTCTAGTTCAAAAACATTTATTGCACACCTACTGTGTGCACATGGCTGGGCTCAGGAGTTCAGGGCTTTCAATCCTGAAGTCTTTAGCATCTGCTTTCTTCCTGGGGTTGAGGGCCCTGGAGAACGAGGACTGGCTGTGAGTGGGGCTTGGTCTCAAGTGGAGGGAGAGAGACGTCATCTCTGCGCAGAGATGAAGCTTGAGCTGTCTCTCTGTCCCACGGCTCATCTGTCTGTCCCAAGGTGCTCAGGCCTGGTGGCTGCTAAGAAGGTGATATGAACATGGGTCTACATGGTTCAGAAAGGGAACAAGGTGACATGCGGTCCTGGGACTCCAGAAGTGGTGACAGGGACCCAAGGCTGAGAGGAGTTGGGAACCCCACACTCAAAGAGCGCTGCGAGAGACGGGAGTCTGGCGTCTCCCCGGGGTTTTATAAGGAGGAGTCAGAGGCAGCCCCACTGGCTCTGCTGCCCCCAAACATCCCCCAGCGCCACCCCACCCCAGTCTGTATAAGCAAAAGGCTGGCGGTGGGGAGGATGGCGTCATGGGGGTGGGGCCGTGGTCGGGGCAATGAGGGGAGGGGAACAGCGTTCCCCCATCTCTCAGAAGCTGAGAGAACGGACAGTGGGTCCTGGGACCGGCGCCCTGCGCCCACCTAAGCGGGGGAAAGGGGGCTGCAGAGGTGGCGCGGGAGTGTCTGTGGGAGTGATGGAGCGTGAGGCACCCTCCCTGCACAGCACAGTACAGCAGGTGTGCATCTCCCGTGGGTGACAGGATCACAGGCGATGGGGGACGTTCTGGGGGTTCCGGAAGAGGTCAAGCCGGGCTGGATCTCCCAAGATGGAGGTCAGAAGAACTCAATTCTCGCTGCAAAAGAGAGCCAACAACTGGGCACCTGCCTCGCAGTGGACACCAAAAGCTACTCAATGTTAGCTAAAGTGCTGTTTCTCACACTTTTTTTAAAGGAGTCTCTTTGGATATTCTTTCCTCCTCAGCACCTTCCCCTCCCTGCCCGTGAAATTTTAATACGACAGACATACTTCTGCCTGCTTACGTGCGTGGCCCTTTGGAAGGCCGCAGGCCATTCTAAGATTTTCTTGCTCCCCTGGAACTAATTCTCACCTCTCTTGGGGGCAGTGTTACCCACGCTGAGCATGTGTGAGCCATGGAGTGGAACAGCCTGTGTCCCACAACAGCAGCCCAACAAAGCTAGGTTTATTCTCTTTGTTGTTTTATGCTTTTTGGTGAGGATGACTGGCCCTAAGCTAACATCTGTTGCCAATCTTCCTTTTTCTTTTTCTCCCCAAAGCCCCAGTGCACAGTTGTATATCCTGGTTGTAAGTCATTCTAGTTCCTCTATGTGGGATGCAGCCACAGCATGGCTTGCGTAGGTCCACACCCAGGATCCAAACCTGTGAACCCCAGGCCGCTGAAGCGGAGCACACAAACTTAACCACCATGCCGCCAGGCCGGCCCCTGGGTTTATTCTCTTGCAGAAGCAAAGGAAACCACACTCCAGGGGAAGTGTGGGCATCTCACAGAAGAAGAGACGGTTTATCACAGGGTTCTGGGTAAGGGTGACATGAGGCAAAGTTTCAATTAAGCTGTGTTTGATGGGCTCAAAGCAAAGCAGGGCTGCGTGTAAAGAAGTCAAGATCAGGTCCAGGATGAGAGTAGACTCAGGGGCCTATTTCTCTGGAAAATACAAAATAAAGCTAAAGGTGGAAATTCGTGTCTGAAAACTTATCTGAAGTTCTGGGGGCTGAAAAGCGAGGCTGCCTCTCTGTGTCACAGGCTCCTGCCCAGACCCTCCAAGCCGCAGTGGGATGTCCATCTTACTGATGGGATTTCAAACAGCCAAGTTTCTGATGGTCTGTGATTTTAGAGAACAACTTTTCTCAGCAATATAATTTTATTCCTTAACAAAACAAGTTTTTAAAGGTTTCTGAAAAGAACATTTTTTGAGGAAGATTAGCCCTGAGCTAACATCTGCTGCCAATTCACCTTTTTTTTTTTGCTGAGGAAGACTGGCCCTGAGCTAACATCCGTGCCCATCTTCCTCCACCCTTCATGTGGGACGCCTGCCACAGCATGCTTGACAAGTGGTGCGTGGGTTCACACTGAGATCTGAACCGGAGAACCTGGGGCCACTGAAGCAGAATGTGCAAACTTACCCACTGGGCCACTGGGCCAGCTCCCAAAAAGGAACTTATTGATGGCCAGAAAGTAGGAGGAACTTTTCCTTCCTAGAAGGAAGGGACCCCCTTCACCAAAAACTAAGGCAGCGCAACCCAGAAGGATGGCAGGAGGGGAGACTTGGCCCATCCCTGACACAGGCTCTCTGGCCACAGGTCAGGTCTCAGCTTATAGGAGAACTGGGAGGAGGCTAGAAGTTTTAGTTCACCAAGTGTGGCCAAAACCCAAGGAAGCTACCCACGGAGTCATGAAGAAACTGCCAAAGACAGCTCCACACAGCCTGGCTGAAGGCAGCAAGGGGGAAACCACTGCGGGCTCATGCAGAGACAACCTCGGACTATTCCTAAGCCGGCATCGGTCAGAGGAGGGCACAGGGGCAGGCAGAAGCGAGGAGGACACTGGGCACGGGGAGGCAGCCGACTTGACACCTTTTCCCGAGTTGAGGACATCACCTACGAGCAGAGCCTGTGGGTAGTTTAGTGAGCGGCCTCCCGTCTGCTGATGGGGCTGGAAAGCTGTGATGCAAAGTGCGAGACGTTAGTCTGCTTCAGCTTGATCCCGGGAAGGGGGTAAAACCAGACCGGGCCAGGGTCCGGGGAGGAGGAGGGGAGGTGAGAGCACATGGGGTGAGCAAGAAGCCTGGCAGTCTGCAAAATGAGTTGCAAGCATCATGCAAAAGGAGGAAGCAGAGCAGCAACAAAAGGAGAAAGACACGTGGAAGAAAAGTCAGGCCACAGATGCTGGGAGAAGAAAGTCCCAGGTGGAGCCACAGTCTGCGGGGGGTGAACAAACAGAAAGAAGCAGTGTGAGAGACCCCTCAACTTTTTACCTCCCTCTTTCTGCCATGACTCTTCTGAGTTAAAAAAAAAAAAAAAAAAAAAAAAAAAAAAAAAGCCCTAAGTGATACAGGGAGTGGTGGCCCCTCGCACTTTGCAAAGCCTGGAGAAGCCTGTTGACTTCCCTCTGAGGCCAGTTCTGGAAAACCCATCCGTATGGAGGGAGGTCAAGGCATCAAGGTAGTGGCCTGTGTTCTGGGAAAAGGATGCTGGGATCACATTCCAGAAAAAGAATGGGATAGAGGGAGTAAAATCTGGTACACGCTGGCGGAAGCGGGAAGATGCACAGAGTTCACCCCCATGGAGAGGCGGAGCTAAGAGAAAGAAAATGTTGCAGAAGCAACTGTGGTACAGAAATACTTTTGGAAGGGGGTGATTTTACCGGATTTATACTAGAAGGATACAGTGGATAACCAAATCAGTCATCCCCTGTTGCAGATCCCCCATCCCCAGGGGTCAAATCATAATTGGCACTAATCATGACAATCTTATTCCCCTTTATTGGTGACGGGTCTCAGGATGGACACGTCACCCACTTCTAGCTAACGAAAGGTAAGAAATCTGCTGGGGGTCTCTGGGAAAGAGTTTCCTCCCTACTGAAAAGAGACAGGTGTGTGAGGAGCTGCCTTCTCACTTCCTGGTTTGCAAGCTTTTATGTGAGGATGTGATACTTGGAGCTGCAGCAGCCATTTTGGGGCCATAAGGCCACAAACTTGAAGAAAGTTAACAAGTTAAGAGTGGCAGAGAAGAAGGATGAAAGGGCCTGGGCCCTTCATGATCTCATTGAGCTGGGAGCACCACCTCCAAAGTCATTGTTAATAAACTTTCCTAGGTTGACTCTCTATTGGCCAGACATTCTCTAACTTGCAACCAAATGCATCTTAACTCGAATGGATAAGGCTACATCTAAGCATCCTATATCTAAGGATCCTAGAACCTACCGAATGACATCTTCTCTTGTTTTAAATTAGATCCTGGGATTTTTAAACTCTGTTTGCTTTGTAGAGCTCTGAAATCTTAGTGTTTGTTTACCTATTATGGCTGGACTCAGGGAAGATTTCTTATGGTTCCAACCCGTATCTCTGGCACCAAGACTTCAGAACTCGCCTCATCCAGAAAGGGGCTTTTGACTGCCTGGGGCTGCATCGACACAGCATTACGAGATGAAAAGTAAACCTTCCACATGGGACCCTTTCTAAGGTCAAGTATCACTG